TGTATTTATTGTGTGTTTTATATCATGCTTGGCATTGAATTGTTGCCTGTTTGGAAGCTGTTCTGAATCCCTCCTCGAAGGTCGAGAAGGGCAGGGTATAAATGCTTGAAATAAATAAATAAATTATCTAGTCTCCCTTAGTTTATTATGAACTTTTAACTTCAAACCTTTGATTTGCAGACTGCAAACTGTTGACCTTGAATCCTTTAATTTTACTGAAGTTTGTTTAGTGTAGCTAATGTAGTCTTAAAAGTTTTAACTGTGAACTGTTTGGAAACACCTTCAGAAGTTGGTCTGCTTGTGTGGCTTGCCTTTTGTGGATTGCTAAATAAGACTGCGGGATAAATACTGATAGTAGAGCGAAGTGACTGAGAGGGTTTGATAGTGGAGCCTGGGAAGCCCACTGGGAATTTCTCCTAAGCAAGCTCTTGGTCTCACTCTTGCTTTGATTTTGTTGGGTAGCAACAAAGATGAGAATTGGGATCCTGTTTTCAAAGAAAATTCCTGAAAAATTAACTGAGCTTTTCTATTACTAGTGTGGAATAAGAGCTCCAGGCTGAGCCTAGAATACCTAGACTGAGCTGAGGTACAAAACCATAATTACTGCCTCCCCAAACCATCAAGCAACACAGATTCTGTGGAGAGGCAGTGAAGCCCGACAGCACCGAGGCAGCCGGTTATTGAGCTGAGCCAGTTATTACCAGCAGCTAAACAAACTAATAGCAAGGATATTTCCCCAGAGAGGGAAGGGTGTTCTCTGCTTATTTAAATCTAAATCTCTTTCACTAGACTGACATTTTATATCAGGAATCTCAACAAGTAAGAAAAATTTGAAGTTTCCTGCCATATTTGCATGTTGTATTTGGAAATATCAGCAAGAAACCTGGAAGAGTAATACGAGAATGTTGAGATAACCTATAATACCAGCAGTAATGCAAAAGGGATAGTCCCTATTTCATGAGTTATAGACCTACTGTCATCATTTTGTTGTCATGGTTCTATCTGTGCTAATCTTGCCAGGAGGTAAAAGTCAGGATCAAAGATTTGCTCGTTTACAAAAAGAAAAATATGTAGTATGTCAGTTGCATAAAGGAAATATGCAGGGGACTAAAGATCAGCGCAAAAAAAACCCCTACGTTGCTGGAAGAAAAATGCATACAATGGAAATAAAAGTCCAACAGTGAGAAGATATGTGTAACCTTCAATAAAGTACAAACAAATTTCCAGATAAATATATTGATAAGATCCCTGGGCCACATATTCAAATGCTGAAAAGGTTATAAGATGGGTCCATCCACTGAGTTATGCAAAGTGAACATTTAACATTCCGATGTTGCAATATTAGCTTTTATAAGGGCATGGAAAATGATCATCATTTAATTTATAATCAGAATCCTATTTTTTATTATTCTAAGAAACAGCTACTGTTATAAAACATACACATCTGCAAAGATCGAAGATAGCTCCAATAAAAAAAATCTCATGGTATAGGGATCAGTCTTGAAGAGCAAATTGTAATCATGTTAGCAGGAGTTGATCTTTTGTAAATCTAATGTGCCTTAAATGCCAGTTAAGACAAACCACCTATCCTGAAATAATTTGCATTACAACAGAAATATATTGCAGCTATAAAAATCTCCTACTTTCTGTTAAATAGTGTACTATTTTCAAATTATGGTCCTGCCCTTTTGAGATTAAAAAAATAGATATCATCCAGGCATCCTTGAAATTCAATTCCCAGCATCTCTCTGTTATATCCTAGAGCAGGAACACCTCTGTCCTTAAACACTATACCAGTATAGTAAAATCAGCAAGTAGTTTATTGAAGGATATATGTAAGCAAAGTAATAAAAATGATAGAAACAGTATAGTCCAAAATAGTATTTTCCAAAGAGTACAGATAGTCCATGAACTTCAGGATACAAAGGTAAAACACAAGATCCAAAGATGCAAAACCCAAAAGAACAAGACAGCATGGAGATCCAATACCCAGAACAGGAAACTGCCAAAATTTGAAACATGAAACTAGAAATACACTTGGAAATAAGACCGTCATGAAAATCCAATATTGACAAGACTGAGATAAAATCCTTTCCTCATCTCATATAAAGTTTTTCCTGTCCCATGAAATGAAAGGAAAGCATTCTCCTTACCTTTAAAACCAGATAAGAATTTCTTATCTTTCTTTTCTAGCAGATGGGCTGATTTTCTGCGATCTTGAGTACTTTGTCTTAATTTAGAAAAGTCTTGTCTTCTGTCTTTGTCTTAGTTTAGAAAAGTCTTGTCTTCTTCAAACTCATTAAATTCTGCACCTGATAAATCATGTTCAGGAGACAGTTTCTCAGAGAAAGACTACTGTGAGCCTCTCCCAGGAATTTGACCTTGGGAATCTACAGGAGACGCACTCCGTTCATGAGAAATGCCAGCAAGGCTTGGGCTTAACTCAGGTTCAGGAAAACCCTCATCCCCATTGACTTCAGACACAATCACAGGCTGAACTACAACACCCTCAAAGCTCCATATGTTGAGTAGGTCTGCTGGGAGTTATGGGCCAAGAAAATCTGAAGAGCCACCTGGTTTCCAAACCTACTTTAGAGACAACAAACTTCACTGATATCGAGGGTCATGTATTGTGTAGGAAATTGTTTTATATGATTAGGAGCTCCCTTCACCAAGCAATGAAGAATTAGAAGAGCTATACAGCTGGATTTGCTTGTAGTATCATGAGTCTTCTCTGTTCCGAACATGCATGGATCCACCATGGACACTAGCAAAAGACAGCCCTTAGGCTGCTAATCTTGAGGACACTCACAATAAAACCATCCACAGTTTATGGCTCTTGGCAACTTTCCATCCTCAGTTTATGGATGAAAGGGATGGGCAGAAGCTGCAGTTTGGTGCAGCCTGCCAACCTTTCTCTTTAAGAACCTGCATGGCGGGGATTGGATTACATGACCTCACAGCCTCTGAGGATGCTTGCCATAGATGGAGGCAAAACATCAGGAAGAATGCTTCTGGTACATGGCCATACAGCCTGAAAAACTTACAGCAACCCAATAAACCTATATTCCATCTAAACTTTAGAAAGAATTTCATAAAATAATAGAGTTGGAAGAGACCACATGAGCCATCTAGTCCAATCCCCTGCTATGCAAGAAAATCACAATCAAAGCACTCCTGACAAATGGCCATTCAGCCTCTGTTTAAAAGCTTCCAAGGCAGGAGCCTCCACCACACTCCGGGCCAAGAGTTGCACTGCTGAACAGCTCTCACAGTTAGGAAGTTCTTCCAAATGTTCAGGTGGAGTCTCATTTCCGGTAATTTGAACCCATTTCTCTGAGTCCTAGTCTCCAGGCATCACCCATATTGAAAATAAAGCTGTTTAACAATTGAATATGCTGTCTTGGAGTGTGGCAGCCTCTTTCTCTGTATCTGTCATAAGTGCTTTGATTGTGTATTCCTGCACGGCAGAATTGAGTTGAATCAGAAGGCCCTTCGGTTCTTCCAATTCTGAAATTTAGAAACTCATTTTGAGAGAAAGATAGGATAGAACTCCAATAGCTAAATATACATAAATAGATGGGACAGAGTTAAGGCATGTTTAAAGCTCCAGTTTACAGTACAGATACTTAATTATCCCTAAGTTGATTGTGTTTCCTGTCTTGGAGAACAGAGTGAAAGAAGTACCTCAGATAAGAAAAATGTCACTAAAAGATGGTCCAGACTTCAAAACATCAAGTGTTACTGTTATATGCTAGAGCCAGGTAATTGTGTACTTATTGTTATCAAAAAGTAGACCCCAAAAATATGAATTGTGCTGTGTGGATCCTTTGGGATACACAGTGATTTCCCATTTGTCTTATAGTTACCTCTTCATGAATTACCCTGGAATGTTGCCCCCAACACATCTCAGTCTCCAGGAAACAATCATATAAATTATCATAATCTCCTCACAAATACACCAAAGAGACTCTGGGGATATATAGTGGGTTGTGCAAGGGCCCCCAGGTTTTTTTTTCCTATTTCTTCTTGATAAGATCTGGTTTATTCCTAGGAACCTTTCCTTGTCTGTGTCACCAGACCTGACCCATCCCTGGGGTTCCCATTGAAATGACAAACAGCCTAAGCACCCTTTTGTTCTTCTGGACTAGTACCCTTTGTATTGACCAGAGCTGAAATATCAAAAACTCACTTCAGCCCATTACTGCTTAGCTCACCACATTCCTCACCAACCACGCCCCTCGCCGGAGCAGATCAATAAATGCACACAGTCTTCGAAATAATCCAATGACAGTTTATTACATTGTCCCGCCACAGCAAGGAACCATCAGTGGTGATGTCAAACAAAATCCTGGAAATACCAGGGAGCAGATCCTAGCCCAAAACCTTCTGGACCAAACAGGGTTGCACAGGAATCTTGACTAGCTGTCTAAATACAATAAATATGCTCTGCATTTGCAATTGCAGTATGTCAGTTCTTTGGAGTGCTGTCTCCACTGACATTCTCTTTGGCCATTGAGAATAAAGCCTCTGATATTGCCTTCAACCAGCCTGTGTCTCATATGGTCTTCTGGGAAGTTAGACATGCCAAGCTCTCAACCCGCACTTCTTGCAGAAGCTGAAATTCATATAACATTATAACAATCAAACATGGAGCACAGACACACATAACTAGGTTTCTATTGCAGGGGGTCTCCTTTGGTGGTGATATCTTTTAAAACAAACTGGAAGCAGGTCCCTAAAACCACCAAGAAAACTTATCACATAACTCCAGACTAAAAAGAGGGTTAGGAGAACCTCCATGAGAAAAGATCATTCATTCCAAGAATGTAGAATTTGTGACCCATATCCTGGTTCAGCATCAGGCTTTTCTTGCACCTCCCAGTATTATCATTCAGTGCCAGCCAAGCCGGGCTTTTTGTAAACAATTGCAAGTACTTCCTCATTCTATTCATGTATTATATGGTTTGTTTAACATTTACTAGGACAGCCACACAGCACATGCTGTAGGGACGTATTTGTCTACCATGGACTGTGACTCAACTGGAGAGGCTGGGCTTACGAATGGATTTAACCCTCTCGTTTATTAGATTTATGCCTTAGTCATAAAAGTTAGCTTGGCCTTTTCTCATTCTTTTTATGCTGTTCTCACTGACTGCCATACCTCATTTGGCATTAGCTGCCAGGAAATTCAGTCACCTGTAGGACATTTGCCCTGACAGAAACTTCAGGACTGAGTCTACGGAGCAACAGCAGCAAGCATACAGGTAACCAGGTAGAATGCTGTATTGATGTTTAATTAATGTTTCATATAATGTTAGACCACAATCAAATCTCTGAGATGTACCTGTTTTTCATTCTCAGAGTGAATGGGTATGTGTGTGAGTGTTCTGAGAAATGATGGTTGAATAGGCTTCACTTAAAACAATTTTGTTTGAGGCAATAATCCACTGTTTGACTGTTTTATCTGTGATTTTTGCATTTGTGGATATTGCAACCTGAATGGGGTTGCCAACTTTTCAACTTGACTGTTCCACTTGAACAGTAACTTGAACTGAAAAGATTTGGCTGCATGCTGTGAAAATGTTTACCTGCTGATCTTTGAATGTCAGGTTGATCTACAATCACAGCTACCAAGAATGCTTGAAGCATACGTCTGTACAAGCTGGAAGGCAGAAAAAGCAAGTCCGGTACTGCCATTAGGCCATATAAGGGGACTTCCTTGATGCCAATGGAGACAGAAATTCTATTACTTGGGTTTTACTGCCATTGTCCTTAGTTAGTGCATGGCTAGGAAAGTCTTCCTGCTCCAACCCTCTTCCAATCCCACTCTCTTGGTCATTTTGGATTGTGTTGTATTTTGGCTCAAATGGTCAACATAGCAATGGCATCCCAGCTTTTACACCTGGGCTCCCCATCTGCTCTCCTCATTCACACAAAATGACTTGGTCTCTCTCATTTATACTGGTGTGTTGGATTCACTGAAGAACAATCTCCTATCTCCAATGCTGAAGTGAGGTGAACTTCTTGTCCGAACTTGAAGGACTAGAACTTTGCCTCACTTTAACACTGGTGATAGGGGAATTTTCTCTAATACACCCAACCCACCTAGGTATATGGTAGCATGAAGAGATGACCTCTCCCCTTCACATTAGACCATAAAAAACATCTTCAACGAGTCCCTGCTGATATAATCTTGCCAATTGCCTTGGAATGATTGAAAGAAGATTTTCTTCCATACTTTTAGGAACAACTTGGCACATATCATTGCATAGTCAATTGCCTTTATGTTTACAGGGCAAAAAAAAAAAAAAGCATTGCTCTAGCCTCTATTGGTAAGAATAACTGGCCAAACTACTTTTTCAGTCTGATAAAGAATATCAAGAGCAAGCAGTGCCTTTCTCAGAGAGATAGCCCAACTCAAAACAAAACAGAATGAATCGAGGATGTTTTTTTAGAAATACGTAACTTTGAACAAGAGTTGCCTTTTCAGCCTTTTCCCTATAATTTCCTGTGAATAAATAAGATATGCTGATACAATATATCTCTGCAGCTCTAATCTACATGTTGCTGAGAAGCTGATGGAGATGGTTGGGCGTTGTTTTTCCTGCCTTCCAGGCTTTTGGTATTTGATTTCTTGCATCTGAATCAGATTTCCCTGTTCAGTGACTTTGGCAGCAATGGTCACCTGTGAAAGGTTTATGGGCGTCTCTACTCTGCACTGTTTTTTTTTGGGGGGGGGGGGGTCATACCTCTATTCATTGCTTAACTTGTTTTTCTTGTTGACTTAACTTGCATTTCACAAAGCAGGAATTATTTTCTTAAAAGTAGCCCAGCTTTTCATTTCTAAAACATAGAGTTAAATGTAAAAACATTTCATTTCACAAATAGAAGGAGGAGTATGCAATTACCTTTGTGATAAATCACTATGTTCCTGAGCATATCAGTTAATGTCAACAACCACCACTTTGGTATAGCATGTTATTAAGGATTTTACATGTTCACTCAAGCTACCCAAATGCCAGCAATGATCACTGCTCAGGGTCACACCTTTAAGAGATACATAGTTCAGGTCAGAGCATCTCAGATTTTGGTCCTACAAACTTTTGAACAATAGCTCTCAGAGTCCCTGACCATTAGCCATGTTGACTGAGGATTCTGGCAGATGAATAAAGGTTTATGAATTATTTACTTAGGCAATATGGACCTGAAATGGTATCTTATGTTGTGATTATATCCAACATTGTCATCTTTTTGGAGACTATACCCCACCGGCCCCAGTTTTGTTGTCCATATCATGGGCAATAGCCTTATGTTTATTATAACATGCAGAATTTGGATGTTGATTTAAGGTCCTTAATGTTCATGTTCAGTTGGGCACATAGGAGAAAAACAATATCACAAAGATTTTCCCATCACATTTTCCACACCAAGAAAAGGATTTCTACCTGCTATGCCTCTGTTACAGTATGCTGCCTCCAGTATGGAAAAGGTGGCAATTGTGTATAAAGAAAGGGTGAGAAATGGACTGCATCAAAATGTCAGCCTAGGTCTTCACAAGTATACTTACAGAGAAACAAATGTCTGTTTATGATATGATAATGGCAGCAGCTAACATATGCTGTAGTGACTACAGTCATAGGAGTGATCTCACATGCCAGGAAAAATGAGTTTTTACTAGCAAGATAAGGGGATTGAGATCATGCCAGGAATAGAATGAAGCTACACAGCTATTGGTTGTGCACAACCAATTCAGGACGAGCAGTGGCTTGCATAAGCCTTTACTCTGGAGTGGGAAGTCAGTGGCCCTCCAAATATTTCCAGACATATTTATTTACTATATTTGTATACCGCCTTTCTCAGCCTGTGGGAGATTAAGATTATCTGGGGAGGCCCTGCTCTCAGTCCCACTTCTTTCACAGGTGCATCTGGTGGGAACGAGAGACAGGGCCTTCTCAGTGGTGGCCCCTCAGCTGTGGAACTCCTTTCCTAGTGATACTAGAGCAGCTCCCTCCCTCTTGGCCTTCAGAAGGAAAGTGAAAACCAGGCTCTGGGATCAAGCCTTTGGAGATTAACTATAGTGCAATAATAGCTACAGAATTATGTTCAATGACATTTGGAATGACCCCGGATTACCATTGTAGATGGTGTGATTTTTGTTTTGATTGCAATGTTTTATATGTTTTAATGTGCATCTAATTTTAATTTGTTAACAATGTATTTTAACTCTTGTTATTCAAAGGCATTGAATAGTTGTTATATGTAAAGCTGCCTTGAGTTCCCTTCGGGGTAGAGAAAGACAGGATACAAATAGAGTAAATAAATAAATAAACATCCATCATCATGACACACTGACCATACTGGAAGTGGCAGATTCCATCTGGAAGACCACCAGTTTCTCATCTCACTGACATCTTTGTCACTGCTTTGCATCGCTTTTAAGAGAGAGTAGGTAGCATATACGTAATGACAATGGTCATGGTGATGATGGTGTTTATTTCCATTTTAAGCATTGTCCTGCTAAGAATGGAAGGCTTGGTGAAATCGGGGTTCTCTTCTGGCAGTACAAGTGTGTCAGTTGTTTCCTCCTTTCACACCTTCTATTTTATTTCTTTCATGTTCCTTTCCTCTCTTCGTGGTGCTTTGCTTGTGCTGTAAAGCATTGTACTAGAAAAACGCAGCCTGTTTGCTTAAGCAGGCACGTCCTTCCCATCTTAAAGACATCAATATCACCCTAGAGAACAATGACCATAATGGGATCAGGACCCTCCTTTTACTGAATTCTTTCACAATAAGCAGCACACGTAAAATCAATTCCACTCTGAAAAAGGTCTTCCGCCATGGGAGAAACCCTAGGACCCAGAGGAACACATCCAGGTCATCACGTCCCCTGATACTGGCAACAATTGAAGTTACTGCAGCCCTTAGTATGCAGAGCAGCTTTTATGCCTTTGACTCCCAATAGCCAAAACCCAACCAGCAACATACAATACATTAACACTCTTAGTCTTGCATTTTTTCCCCAGAACAATCTGTATTCCCTTTCACCATTTTTGTTTTGCATAGTTGGCTTTAGATGCATGAAACTTCATATTTATTTTGGGGCACACTTTTCCATAGTTATGCACTTTTCTAACACATTTCCTAATTTTGTGAATTCTTGCAGACAGCTTTACAATGATTACAGTATATTCGTGCACAATTTTCCAAAATGTTCATTTTGAATTGTGGGCATTTGTTTGTTTATAATTCTTAAAAAGACAAAAGGGGGAAAGATCTACTACTGGCATTTTTTCCCCAATGAAGGGGAAATGAAAAATATGTGTATTGGATTACTGTGGGTTTTCCAGGCTGTATGGCCATGTTCCAGAAGCATTCTCTCCTGATGTTTTGCCCACATGTATACCAGGCATCCTCAGACGCATCCTCACAACCTCTGAGGATGCCTGCTATAGATGTGGGCAAAACGTCAAGAGAGAATGCTTCTGGAACATGGCCATACAGCCTGGAAAACTCACAGCAACCCAGAGATTTCAGCCATGAAAGCCTTTGACAATCCCTGTACTTCTTCACTAAGAGGCTGTGAATACTGTAACATCAATTTGTTGTTGCTTTAATCAATTGAAGCAATTTTTCTCTCCATATCTAACATATGTTTGCTGGTATGTTATGTGCCTTCAAATTGTTTCTGACTTATGATGACCCTAAGATGATCCTATCATACAGTTTTCAGAGGCTGATAGACTTATCACACTAGAGAATGAATCCACTTTAAATCCGGTTGCTGCCTCCTGAAGAATTCTGGGGTTTGTAGTTTAGGAAGGAGCCTTTAACAGCCTCACTAATGGCCAAACAGATACAAATAGGAAACTTGGCAGCAGGACATGAGCACAATAGCACCCTTCCAAAGATGTTCCACAGCAAATAGTATTGCAAGGCATGATCTCTCTCTCGGTGTGGGTAATATATGTAGCCACTAAAATAATATACCTATTAGGCCTGGGTAACAACGGAAAAATTTGTTTCTAAAATCGATTTGTATTTGGGGGGTTTTTTTGTTTCGATATTTAAAATAATTACAAAATTTTCCCTTAAAAAGTTCGGTATTTACGAAATTTCGTTAATATTAACGAATCAATTCGTTAAAATGGCGGACGCGGTTGCGCGACGTGAAAATAATAGTTTTAAATAATAGTTTTAACCTCGGAGAAGAAAAGAGGGGGGAAAGAGAGAGAGAGGAGGGGTGAAACAAACCACTTTCTGCCTT